TTCCTGACGGGAGCGTCGCCACTCTTCCCTCCCCCAGAAGAGCTGGGAACCTTGCCTCCTGGACACTTCTGGCTAGTGGGTGCCGACTTTGGTCGTTATGTTTTCTCAGCTTGGGGTCATTACCGCTTGCCCTTGGCAGAAGCCAAACTAGCTCACAGGTCGCACCTGTACCAACTGGTCAGTGGGTCTAGGAGGCTGGTGCGTTCCGCCATTGAGACTTCAAAGTGCTTGCGGCGCAAAACAATTCGTTTCAGTGGGCTGGCCACAACTCGAAGGTTGAGGGTCGCCACTCTGCAGTCAATGCATGGATTTTTCTGAATAACCGGTCGAAATATTTGATAAACGCAGCCACCCATTTTGCCCGCCCCACTGAACCAAAACACTGAACCCAACCATGGTTGGGGAAGGAACCGAAGGATCCAATCAGAATGCAAGATTTGACTCCAGACTGGCTACGGTCTCAAACACTGCCTGATCAGATAGCGCTTGGTCAGGTGGAAAAGGTTGAACATAAAATTTACCTACCCTAAGGACTTAGGCCTCTACCCCACGGGGGACCAAGGTCCGCCCATCAACACCGTCTATGCGTTGCCCCTACGTCCATCACTCAGCGGGATCCAAAGCAATACCGAATGCAGGACTCTGGATCCCGGAAGTGACAGTCCCCCCTCACCCGACGGCGTGGCTTTTGAAGTCATTAAGAGGAACAGACTCTGAGGGGCCGCCCGAGGTTGCATATTTAAATGATACTATTATGACGGCCATATTGGATTTATGCAAATGGCTGTTAATCAATCAAATGTTTCACAATCACATACAGGCACCTCCCTGGAATGTATTGTGAAGAAATTATTTCTGTTGCAATTTGTGATGGGTCAAACCATAAATTGACTGGACTATATACATGAATGAAAGAAACGAGCGAAACAGAACAATTTACAAATCTGACAACAAATAAATTAAATATGATTGACACCATGACCTGTAATGATGAGCGATTAATAACTGCTCTATCAGAACATACATATAACTGTTTTTAGTCCCTGTTCAGGCGCAGCCTTTTGTCAAATGTCCGTTTTCAGTTTCCCATATTCCATTTTACGTCTCCAACATTTTCTCAGAAATTCTACAGCAGGTATCAGTGAAACTTGGCAGGTTGATGAACAAGTCTCTGCCGAGTACGCACGTAATTTTTTTTCCAGATCTGAAAATTTCAAGTGGGTCTTTTTCACGATTTTCATCAAAAATTACCTCTCCCGGCAACATTGACAGGACGTCTGCGCATGCTCAGAATAGATTAATTACTGTAATGTTTCAGTTAAAATAAAATCCAGCGAATATACCTTTTTTCCTATATTTTACAGTCAACTTGTTAAAAATCAATGAAAATATATTCAATACAAAACACCCAGAAAAAGTCTGTATGACGATGAGTAGATGATGGTATCTTTGGTTTATGAACGTGCAATTCCAGGAGGCATAGCTCAGTTTGGGTGAAGGGATGTGTCATGAATTAGTTTTTGCGTATCTGTTGACCGACTTGGTTAGCTGGTTAGCTCGTTAATCGCTGTGTTATGTCTGTCATCGTTTAGGCTCATGCAAGGTCCTGGACGGAACTTGACTCAGTGATTGGAACTAATTACGATATAATTACGATATAACCGGTCGCCATCCGAACTACTAATACTAT